AGAGTTAATCAAGAGTTTGAACACCCCATGAAACAGTCATCTCGAAAAAACGAGCTACAACATCGTGCAGTCAATGACATATGGGAAGATCAACAAAACTCTGTTCAAGATCTAAGATCGGACAATCATCAATCTTCCCCTCAAAGGAATGATATCCTTCAGAATGAGCAAGAAGATAGTGCAATTTCAAAGCCAGCCAAACACATCACATCACGACAGACGCAAAGAAGTCAAGTTCGCAAAATAAAATTACTTTGCAAGCAAAAGGAACAGCAGACAACTGATTGCTATGGTACACATTCTGAGCACAGGAATGACACGGGTGATGTGCATAAAATCTCAGATCATGGTCTTGGTATGAGTACTCAACTGAGTGGGAAAAGAAAGATAGTTGAAGCATCTTATTGCTATAGTATCTATTCTGATCACAAGAATGACACTGCTGATGTGGGTGAGAACACTGTTCAACAGAGTAGGAAAAAAAAACAGGCCAAAAAGTCAGCTCCAACTAGGTCAGGTACAAGTAGGTCACGCGGAAAGCAGTCAAGAAAGTAGTTCAACAAGTGCAGTCTGACAACTAGTTGTACACATATTAGATTATTGACTAGTTAGAGGTTTAGTTATTTTATCCGTGTTATAAGTTATTGCCAAATGAATACTTCTTCTATTTTTATTTTATTTTTTCTAATTGGGAATTTTTATGTAAAGAAACAATTATTGATAAGCGTAATGTTGATGAGATAATCTTATGGTAGTTTGATTGTTACTCAGTTTTTTTCTTTGATTGCTTTCTAGGTTATTTTTGGACACACCCCAATTGCCAAAAATTTTATATTGTATATTTGGACAAGGTCCGATGGACTGTTTTAGCCAGGGTATTTTCACTTTGGTACCAGTCCTATCCTTTGGGCAGTTACGTTTTTTGGGCCTTGGCACCACAGCCGTGTTTTCAAGACCTTGTCCATACCGTGAAAGTTTGCTCTGCCACTGTCTGGGACCGGTTCTGATCAGGTTGGTCATGACCTTGGGTTTCTGATCAGTTTGTGAAAGTTTCGAGAAATAGTGCGCTGTTGTAGTGTAGGATTGACGAGAGATCGGTTCCTCCTCTTGGTCTTGGATGTTTGGAGGCGAGTTGTATTGATTTCACATGTTAATCTTGCCAAAATACGATTTATTTCTACTTTATGTGTGTAAATGTTTTCGGTTTTGACGCTTCGTGACTATATCCTCAAAATGCAAATGATAAGACAATCTAAACATTTGAGCATTTTTTTTTCTTTTTTCATTTTTTATAAAGTCTATTTGATAATATATTTGACAACTTTGTTTCTTTGTGAGTCATATCAGTCGTTTACTTCGTTGATCTCTTGATCTCTCCCTCTCTCTGTCTCTCCAGCAGTGCTTGCTGGAGGAACTGTCCTAGTTTAGCCTCGTGGGGTTGGTCCTTAGACTACTGTCTTCCCCCAAATAGAATATACGATTATAAGGTCTGTATTTAGCCTCGTGCGCGTGTTCTATTTTGCGGAAGACGGTAGCATTTGGTTGTCACTTAGACTGCAACACAAGACTTGGTTGCTGATCTCAACATTCACCGCCATCTTTGTATGCCGCCTTACTATTGGAGGACACTCTTAGGAGTCTTATCGCCTCCAATAATAGGTCTCTGGCAGATGGTTTCAATAATAAAAAAAGGTGTGTGTTGTGTGATTCATTTTTTCAGACTTGGCCAGGAGTGAGATTTTGTACTGCCTTTCTCCAGCTTGAGTTCAACCTTTGTCGAGGTTCAACTTACCTTTGGCTCACCCTTAGTTTCTTTAGGACATGTATCTGCGTCTTTTTGAGGATTTTTGTCCCTTGATTTGGCTGTCAGAAAGATTTTTATCCCTTTAATTTGGTTATATTTTCAGGCCTGGTTCAGCTTGATGCAGGTTCAACACAGGCTTGGTTCAAACCTCACAACCACATTCACATTTAGCCTGACAGTCCTAGTGCAAACCTTGTTCAGAGTTGGTTCAGAGTTGGTTAAGACTTGGTTAAGACTTGGTTCATTCCCAGTTCAACCCCAATTTCACCTTTGTTCAACTTCTGTCTAGCCTTCGTTCATTCTTGTTTCAGCGTTCATTTGGGCTTAGCCCATGTTTGGTTTAGACTTGAGTCAGCCTCGAGTCAGACTGGTTAACCCTCAAATCGACCTTGGTTCAGCCTTCAAGTTGGTTCAGTTCCCGACACCGCTTATCTGTTCAAGGATGCACTTCTGCCCCTTTATTTCTTCTCATATTTTCAGACCATGGGCCTTAGGTATTGATACATCAAGGTGAGGAATGACAAAAAGTAGACGCAAGTGGACCCTAGATATTGATGCATCTGAACGAGGAAATGACAAAACTATAGAAGCAACTTACAACGGATAGGAGATAATGACAGAAATCATAGGAAGTGACGCATATCAATTTAGAATTGAGGGACGTTCATATAAGAAGTCAAGTATTATCCTAATATAACCTAAGAGGGTGTCTGGTTACCAAAGGAAGTCTCCCAGTAAAAGGTGAGATGCTTGAGGTGACCGGGTCAAGGAAGGTCTCATTGTCAACAGGTGATGGGTATACAATTCAGCCTGATGGGCTTGGTACTTCTACTATCGTCTTCCCCGGAACATAACATACTATGATAGTAGGGATCTTTGGTAAAGGTTGAGATGCTCAAGGTGACTGGGTATTAATAACATAAGTGAATGCATATTTTTTATAATTGCTGAACATTTATTCCGTGTTTTATGTGTTTCAGGTTTCTAATTGTTGTACAAAGCGTGACAAAAGTCACACAAGTTATCCATCATTCACAATGGACGAGCTGATCAGACCAATGACTCTTCCTGATGTCATTCAAGCTATTCAGATTTACAATTCCCTCTCCCGTAAAATGCCGAATTTGTTTACTCACATCACTCATGCAATGAACTCTCCTGACAACACATGGAGAGAGAAGAATTACGAGCAACACAAAATCCGAGTTGTCTTGGAGAAGTTGCAATTTCACAATCAGTCTTTTCATGAACCCTGTCCTCGGTGCAGACCATGTTGTTCATCTTGCTCATTGTGAATATGTTCTCATGCTGGCTATTGCATCATGCCTTCACTGCAATACAAGTCTTTTATTCAACATGCAACACTTGTCGCCATTCTTTTATCCAATGCAAGGCATTCCGAGAACAAGTGTTATTTATGAAAAGACATGTTCCACATGTTTAATCAACTATTCTTATAGTTATTACACTTTACCAAATGCTGAGCGAAGATTCTACAACACAGTGGAGAATGACCCAAAATGGTTCCAGGTGAACTCGAAGACTGTAATCAGCGTCACACTTCTTCGTCAGCGTGATGACTTGCTGTAAGTTTTTACTATAGCCATATGTGTTCGTTTATTTGTTCATGCATTTCTGTGAGCTTCTGTTTGTTATAATGCTGATCTTGAACTTCATTGTCTTTCAACACACCTCTTGTATCATGTTGAGGTCTGTACACGGACCTTTTTTCTTAGGGCCCGATGGCTGTTAGAAGCCCCTAGGCCGCACACCTTTTTTTTGGCTGTGCAACCTGGAGGCCCCAAGGCCGCACACATGTTGTTTTTTTTATTCAACATTTATTTATTCCCTTATTTATCTTTTTGCTGAGTCTTGCTGTTTTTTTTTTTTCAATTCAGCGTTTATATATTATTTATCTTTTTGCCGAGTCTTGCTGTCTTTTTTTTATTCCGAATTTATTTATTCCCTTATTTATCTTTTTGCTGAGTTTTGCTGTTTTTTTTTTATTCAACATTTATTTATTCCCTTATTTATCTTTTTGCTGAGTTTTGCTGTTTTTTTTTTATTCAACATTTATTTATTCTTTATTTTTTTTGTTGAGTCTTGCTGTCTAAACCAAACCTGTTGTGATTTTGTAATGACAGGGGATGCTCTTAACCAAGCCTGTTGTGATTTTGTGTTTGATATGATCTATAGTGACGGGGAATGCTCCTAACCTTGTTGGGAGTTGCGAACTAGGTACTTGTATCTGAGACTTAGCCTTTTGCAAATTGTGTCGGTACTCGAACCGATGACCTATGTTGTAGGATGCGGACTTGGAAGGTGATATTTTCCTTTGTCAATAGTAAGTCTCGAACAGCGTACCGGTTCGATAGGATTTCAGAGTGCTTTGTCGTTTGGTAACCCGTAGAAGGGGAATTTGAAGAGGGTACCTCTGTTTGCGTAGTACTTAGTGGGAGATTTGTTTTCATATTGGTGTGTGAAAGGGTCGGTGGTACTAACTGGTCTGGAAAGGGTCAGTGGTACCAAGGGGACCTCCCGGTCCTCTCTGAGATAAAAGCAATGATTGAACTGTCGTTTTCCTCTCTTCGGGACCTGCGGCCGTAGTCGGCATTTCCGGAATGCCGGAAACGACGGAGGTGGGTTAGTGGTGGAGCGTTTTTGCGCATGGTATGTTTTGGAGGGAGAAACCCCCTGAGGAAGATCACCTTGCGGTGATCGAAACCGGTCGGGGAGCCACTTTCTCGAAATTGACGATAATTCTCAATCTATTGCTCACGACTACTTGTTGTTGCATGTGTATCATGTGATGATTGAAGTTTTGGATTTTTCATCCTTCCGTAACATATACTTGCTGCAGCCCGTGTGAACCAGCCTGGAGCAATTGTACCAGGAGTGTGTGAGTATGACATGCACCTGAGGTGTATGTTGTTGCTGTAAGGAATTGATTTGTTCGGGATCATCGAAGTACCAAGTGATGTTTGGAAGAAGGATATACGACGACAACTATAGGAGAGAAGGAGATGGTGGCAAGAGAAGTTACCAAGGATGTGACGATCGGGAGCGGCAACACCATGAAGTGCGAGAACCACACGAAGATTGGAGACTCGAGGGACGAGGACGTGACGAGTACCGGTTTGAAGATAGAAGTCGGTATCTTCGTGCGGCTAGCCATGAATGACCTACTGAACGGCGTGGTGAATACGGAGGAGCAAGTGGAGAACGACGACCTCCACCTGTGTGTTTTGGATGCAAGGTCGTCGGCCACTATCGGAGCGATTGTTGGCGGTTTTAGACTAACGACGAAGACGACGCATGGAAGCGGATGGCTACCGCTGCCGTCCTGAATTTGAAAGACGAAGACGATCTGTATCACCGCAACAACACCGACAAGCGATCACCAAGCGGTCACCATCCGAAGAACCAAGAACAAGTAGCCGACTTGACGACCTTGGCAAGACGGTGGCAGCTATGAAGGATTTTGTTGATTTGGAACTAGCACGACGGGAAGCTAAGGAAGCGAGGAAACGGGAGAAGGAAGCCGCAAAGATGCGTGAGGAGGAAAAACGAGTAGCAGCTGAAGAAGCTCGCTTGGCTGCAGAAGCTAAGAACCAGAAGAAGTTGGAGAAGCAGAGATGTCGGGAGGCCGATCGCGAAGCTATTACGAAGGTGGTGGGTGTACAAGTCGCGCTGCGCTTGAGGAACGTACCGAAAGTTTTGAAGAATGAAGTACAACGTGCGGTATGGGAGATTATTCCCGATCTAAAAGGCAAGGCAAAAATTATAGAGGAGAATCCCTCTACTTCGACCTCCGCGGAAATACTAAACGCTGTGGAAGTAATCACCGGCGATACCGAGAACTTGCACATCTCCGAGAAGCGCAAGAGGGGCGAAGACATGCCGGTGGGAGACAGCCCTCCCATCACAACCCCGGCTAAGTGCACAAGTAAGCGGACCGCGATACGGCCCCTTCGCCTCGAAGAGCGTCTACGTGCATGCAACACACAAATGAAGACCGCACATGTACGTAAGACACGCAAAGCCTTGACCAGCATGAAGGCGACGTTAAAGGATACGCAAGTCGAGAGATTGCAATTTATGGATTCCGTGCAAAGGGAGTTGATAAATTTGCACCATGATGAGATCAAGGCCATGTGTGGACGCGAAGGTGTGACCTACAAGACGAAGTTGCAGGCCATCTTTGACCTGGCCGATCGATGAGCGGAGATCAAGTTCGGCCTGGTGACCCCATAAAATTTTGTTATCAATCTCACTTCCGAATTCGAGGAGCAGGCGGTTGATGATGACGTGAACTGAACTCTGTTTAGTTTCGAACAAATATGTGAACCGTGTGAAGTTGAGGTTAGCTATCGTGGTAAGTATCCCTTGGTGAATAACGAAGTTGAAACACTGTATAGACTGTTAGTATTGCGTCTGGCGGTGTCTAGGAAGATTAGATGGTTGGAGAAGTGTGTCCCTGCTTGGCTAGACCTATTCAGTCTATACGGTATGAAATTCTTGAATTTGTTGAGTTTTGTTTATGTCGTTACATCTCCATTATGTAAGTCGCAGTACGTCGGTCAGACGGGAAGGTCCCCGAATGTTAGATGGAGGGAACACATTTCGGTATCCAACAGAAGAGCGAAGAAAACGCATTTGTATCGATGGTGGGATTCTTTCAGCTTTGAGTCGTATGTGTTGCTACCGGTAGCGCATGGGATTCAGGAGGATTTATTGACCTTGGAGAAAGTATATATCAATCATTGGTCACCTTTCCTGAATACTGCTGGTACGACGAACATAGTAAGAAGAAGGTAAGGAAAGGGAAGAAGGAACGGAGAAGGAATAGAGGAGCAACAAGTGCGAACGGAAGAACAACCGAAGGTGTACGACCGATACGGGGAGCAACAAGTGCGAACGGAAGAACAACCGAAGGTGTACGACCGATACGGGTAAGATGCTGCGATAGCGAACCTTGGACCGTGAGTATCTTCGATAGCCTGCTTGAGAAAGATAGGAGTGGAACCCGTTATTTTGCCTTGCAATCCAGTGGGGGAGGTATTTGGTGTGATTCCTGGAGGAAGATTCGAAAGACCTTTGGGAAATCGGACGTTAGGATTAAGGGACAACAGTCCCAACTGAAGGATTGTAGATCTAGTATCGAAAGTGGCGAAAGTATCAAGATTTCTTACCTGCGTAAGTGGCGACCAAGGCAGAACTGCTACAAACCGTTCTTGGTCTCTTTGTTGAAGAATCCGTGAAGAATCGATAAGCTGAGGCATTGGGATTTAGCTTCGTTGGATCTGCTATTTAGCGCAGTAAAAGACTTCGATCAAAAAGTCACTCGATCTTATCTACGCCGAATCATCTCGCGGATGGTTCGTGAAGAGTTTGGTTTCAACTTCTCGGCTGCTCCGGTTTTCCGTTTGTTATTGAACGATCGTGTGAGATTGAATGAAGTATGAAGATTGGTGAATGAGAAGCTGGGTAAACTTACTCTTCCACCTTGTGTGATACGGAGAGCACGAGCTAAGGTCCGAATCGTTTGGACTAAGAACCCAAGCATTTTGAACTTATTACACAACCAACGCAAATTTACACGCGTTGATGTGGTAACCTGTTTCTGCACAGGTTTTCCTTACCCACGAGTAAAAGGTAACATGCGATGTCGAATACATGAGGTCGAAGGTATTCCGGAATTAATGTGGAATGTTGGGAACATATCGAAGGCTCCACGATCCGATCGAATGACCATGCTCCAGGAGGAGATTTGTGAAGGTTTCGAATCTTGCGTGAACATCAAGACTCAGAGAGTTGCCTGCGATACAGTGGAATTGGAGAAGTGTATGCAGAAGGTTGTGGAAACTGAGGCGAGCTATCTTCGTAAAGACAAAGTACTTGAGATCAGGAAGCGACTCGGGGGTTTAGTACTCACTCCCCTGGATCGTAACCCTGGGGAGACCTTAGTGATTTGTCCAGTTCTGTTCTATGAGGGGATTAGGGATTTGTCCATTTGGAATGATGGATATGTGCCTTGTAACAGGAATGAGATGAAGATTTTGAAGGAAATGAAGCTGCAGATTAAGATGCGCGGTCTGCAAACGTTCGTCAAATGGGACAACAAGGGAAGCATCGGCTACGCATATGCGATGCCGAAACACAAGGACCTAGAGCGGTATCGGCCGATATGCCCTACATACTCCGAACCAATGGTGAGGACATGCCGGGCTGCCGCTAAGGCTTTAAACCACCTCCTGTGACACGATTGATCGATAGACTGGATGGGATTAACAAGAGAGTCATGAAGATGAAGATTCAACCCGCCATTGTCGCAAGATCATACGATATCAAGGATATGTTCAGTCGTTTACCACACGACGACATTATCTGAGCGGTCGAATGGCTAATTAACTTCCACAGGAAGAAGGAGAGGGAGTTTGTACGTGTAAATACACGAGGAAGAGGGGCGACTTTTGGTTTGACAACAGGCTTTGACCATTGGAGGTTGATTCGTTTTGATGAGCTGTTGGGCTTTGTTCGTTTTGAACTGGAGCATACTTACACTTTTGCGTTGGATGTCTTGTTGCAGCAAACTGTGGGAATTCCAATGGGTAAAAGTACAAGCCCGCCATTGACCTGTATTATGTGTGCCGATGCAGAGTTCAATTTTTTGATGGGCTTGGGCCCCCTGCGGCGTTGGGTAGCAGGGATTCGACTAATTGATGACGTGAGTTTGTTTGTATTGGACTCGGGGCTTGACAAAGAAGTCGTGCAGAAGATCTGGCATGATTTTGAAAAATGTTACCCCGACAATCTCACTTTGAAGCGTACTGACGCTGACCAAAGAAGGTGGGACTTTCTGGGATGTGAGGTGCGTATTGATGACAGGACGTCAACAGTGTACTCTGTTCAAATGTTGAAAAATGAGAAGAGGATCTGGGATGATGAGGTGTTGGAGTTAAAAAACGGACAATCCTTCTGATCATGGGGAAGTAAGGCACAAAAGAGTGTCGTTATTACGAGTCGGTTGCAGAAAATCGAATGTAATATTTTTGCAAGGGAAGAAATCCTTAGCCGGATCATTACGATGACACGCGAATTGAGAATCTTGGGTTTTCTGGAGGACTTTGTCATTCGGGTTTTGAAGCGGTTCGCCAGAGGAAAAGATGAACCATGGGGGTTTACGGTCTGGTTGATGAGTAGGCATCGTTCGTAGATAGGTGTCGTGAGGATTCTCAATGTGTTTAGCTAGATGAGTTGTAGGTATAGAGAATTGGTGACTTAGTAGGTATGAGTTTTTTCTACTCGGTGTTCTGTATCTGTATCTCGATGGCTTCTAGAAAAAGGAGGTGCGACTATACAGATAGTGACAGGGTATGAAAACTGCAACTCTGATTTTACCCGAGCCTGTTGTGATTTTGTGCTTGATATGATTTGTAGTGGCAGGGGATGCTCTTAACCGAGTTTGTTGTGGTTTTCTGTTTCATATGATCTGTAGTGACAGGGGATGCTCTTAACAGCCTGTCTGTAGTGACAGGGGATGCTCTTAACAGCCTGTTGTGATTTTGTGTTTGATATGATTTGTAGTGACAGGGGATGCTCTTAACCTTATTGGGAGTTGCGAACTAGGTACCTGCATCTGAGACTTAGCCTTTTGCGAATTGTGTCGGTACTCGAACCGATGACCTGTGTCGTAGGATGCGGACTTGGAAGGTGATATTTTCCTTTGTCAATAGTAAGTCTCAAACAACGTACCGGTTCGATAGGATTTCGGAGTGCTTTGTTGTTTGGTAACCCGTAGCAGGGGAATTTGAAGAGGGTACCTCTGTTTGCGTAGTACTTAGTGGGAGATTTATTTTCATATTGGTGTGTGGAAGGGCCGGTGGTACTAACTGGTCTGGAAAGGGCCAGTGGTACCAAGGGGACCTCCCGGTCCTCTCTGAGATAAAAGCAATGATTGAACTGTCGTTTTCCTCTCTTCGGGACCTACGGGCGTAGTCGGTATTTCCGGGATGCCGGAAACGACGGAGGTGGGTTAGTGGTGGAGCGTTTTTGCGCATGGTGTGTTTTGGAGGGAGAAACCCCCTGAGGAGGATCACCTGGCGGTGATCGAAACCTGTCGGGGAGCCACTTTCTCGGAATTGACGATAATTCTCAATCTATTGCTCACGACCACAATTTGTTGCATGTGTATCATGTGATGATTTAAGTTTTGGATTTTTCATCCTTCCGTAACATATACCTTGCTGTCTTTTCTTTGGTTCAGCATTTATTTATTTCTTTATTTGCTGAGTCTTGCTGTCTGGCCCATTTTTGTTGGTTCCAGGTGTGTCACCTCAGACTTTCCCCTAATAGGTAGGACCTGCGTTAGCAGCAGGATGCCACCATGAGGAGGATTTGGGCCTGCATTAGGCCTTCGATCGGATTTTAGATCCGACGCTCTTGGATGCAGACCCTGGGCTGCCCAGCCAGGCCCAACACTATATCTAGTGAGAGGGCAACCCAGTTTGACAGATTTCAGTCGGGCAACATTGTGAGCATCACGCCGTTGGAGCAACATGCGACTCTGGAGTGTTGCGCTAGAGGTAGAGCTAGAGGATTAGGAGGTAGTAGGAGAGAGGAGGCTGGAGAGCCATAGCCGCTAGTGGAAGGACAACTTATCTGGGCGCCATAGCTTGGACTGCACTTCGGCGACCTGCATCAGAGAGTGCCATTCCTCCAGTCAGTGTGGGCAGGACTTCAGCAGCAACACGTGAGGGAGAGACAAAATAAATTTCTCTTCTTCTTTTTCTTCTCCTTCTTCCTACCTCCAAACCCCATAGTCACTCTTCTTCTTCTTCTTCTTCTTCTTCTTCTTCTTCATCTTCTTCTTCTTCTTCAGAGAGTAGAGAAGGTTACAGGCAGATCTATCAAGGGCTATGGGGCCCAGGATCTGATTCAACATTCTTGGAGCAGACATTGGTTGGACACTTGACAGGGAGAATTTTTTTTTTTCTTCACAGCAGTGTATTCGACTCTGGTCTACTCCCTTGCCTCCATCTTTGTCTTGCTCCTTTGTCTCCCATCATTTGTGGTATACCTCCCATGTGCGTGCTCAAAAGAGGGACCTTTTCTTTTGTGCATGCAGCCTCCCTTCTCTCTCACGTGTGTGATAATGATGGTATAAGTCGGGTCTGTCCATCGAGTCAGGTCGCATGTTTGAGTCTTCTGTTGTGCTACATTGTATCATTTTCTGATTCTATGGATACACATTGTCTCTCTGACGTTATCATGTATGTCATTGATATCATTGTGTATGTCTGAGTTCTTATCATCACCTGACTGATCCTTTTGCTCCTTTGCATTGCTTACCTTGTCTACGAGCATGCATCACCTTCTTTCTCCTCCCTACCATACTTGGTTCGGCGCTTGTTGCAAGTTGTGTCAAAGTTGGATTCTAGCAATACCAAGTGTCAAGCACACGAGATGTCACAAAGTACTCACACATAAATAATCATCCATAGAGAGGTTGCGTTCTGACATCATGATTGTCTTATGTTTGTCATGGTTTTCATTGTCATGCAGCTATCGACTTCATGCGGGGTTTCAAGCAACAGTTGCAGCTCACAATGACAGAGAAGACCTCACAAGGTTTCTTCATTTTAGTGATTTGCAAGAGAACATTGCGGAGCACAAACAAACACAAAGATACTGTTTGAACCGTCAGAGATTTGAAGAAGCCTACTTTCGTTGGAGGGTATCTTTGTTTCTTCAGAATTATGCGCAACATCTCATTCCACATATGAACTACGCAATGCCATATGATAACATTTTGGCATATGTAATATGTTCAATTCAACTATTCTCTTCTGACTAAAGTACTGTGTACTAACCAGTTATTGTTCGTCTAATATCACAAAAATTTTCAAAAGGTTCAGAGAGAGAGAGAAAGAGAGAGAGCCAAGCAGTTGGGAAGGCACCCCAGCCAACTGGGTGGTCAGTCCAGCCAACTGGGTAGCCATAGTCACAGCCAGATAGTTAGGGCACTAGGCGGGTAAACAGGTGGCTACCCAAACAGCTAGCCAGGTAGCTCTAGTCTAGACTCAATTTAATCTCATGTGCCTACTTAGGATCTATACCTTGATATTTGTGCTTAGTTTGATTGTTGTTTGCAAGTGCTTCGCTATACTACACTCATGTTGATTTCAGAGTTATGTAGCATACCATTTTGATTTGTGAACTCACTCAGCCAGATGGCCAGATTGGCTGCCTGGAAGCCAGGTAGTAGGCAGCCGGGTGGCCAAGGGCACAAGACGCTATGCAGGCAGGCAGGCAGGCACTCAAGAGGCCACGCAGGCAACTAAACAGCCAAGTTAGTTTGCTGTTTTTCATGGTTTTTTATTTTTTTCTAGTCTATAGACACAATCTGATAGCTTCCACTTATATCATATCATACTAGGATTGTACTACTGTAGATTGATGTTCGCAAGTACTTAGTTTGTTCTTTTTTATGCCTTTTTTCTAGTCTAGAGTCTGGGTGGGCACTGCCGCACTAATTTTCAATTGGAACCACACCAGATAGATATTTTGTTGCTTGAACTTATCTGATTTGCTGTTTTCCTCACTGTGCTCTAGTCTAGACTCCAGGTAGGCCATGCAGTCAGGCATGCAGCCACCTAGCGACCCACCCACCCACCAAACCACCAAGGCAGGCGGGCAAGCACGCTCCTAGACATGCAGGCAGGCAGGCAGGTAGGCAACCAAGGAGCCTTGCAGGCAAGCTGGCAGCCAGGGAGCCAGACAGGCAGAAAAGCAGGCAGGCAACCAATCAGGCAGACAGGCAGGCAGCGGCTGCAGCCAGCAAGCCAGGCAGCCAAACATGCAACCAGGTAGCGAGATTGGTTGCATGCAAGCCAGATAGTACGCATTTGAGTGGCCAGGGATACATGATGCCATGCAGGCAGCTAGCCAGGCAGGCAGGAGGCCACATAGACAACCAGGCAGCCAAGCAATCTTTTTCTAAGCAGCCAAGTTAGTTTTTAATTTTTCTAGTCTATAGACTCAATCTGATAACCTCGACTTATATCATACCATACTAGGACTGTAGGTTGATGTTTGCAAGTACTTAGTTTGTTGTTTCTCATGCCTTTTGTCTACTGTTGATGTTTGCAAGTACTTAGTTTGTTGTTTCTCATGCCTTTTGTCTACTGTAGAATCTAGGTGGGCACTAGTTTGCAGTTCAAGTTATGCTAGATAGATGTTTTGTTGTTTGAACTTGTATGATTTTCTGTTTTCCTCATTGTGTTCTAGTCTAGACTCTAGGTAGGCCACACACTCAAGCAGCCAGGCATGCAGCCACTCAGTGACCCACCCACCCATCCACCCAGGCAGCCATCAAGCCACCAAGGCAGGCGGGCAAGCACGCTCCCAGACGCGCAGGCAGGCAGGCAGGTAAGCAACCAAGGAGTCTGACAGGCAAGCTGGCAGCCAGAAAGCCAGGTAGGCAGACTGGTCGGCAAACAACCAAGCAGGCAAACAGGCAGACAGCCAGCAAGCTAGGCAGCCAGACATGCAGCCAGGTAGCCAGATTGGCAGCCTGCAAACCAGGTAGTAGGCAGTTGCGTCGCCAGAGACACATGATGCCATGGAGCCAACCAGGCAGCCAATCAGTTTTTTTCTAGGCAGCCAAGTTTTTTTTTAATTATTATTATTATTTTTTTTATTTTTTTTTCATTATTATTATTATTTTTAACGAAACCAATCATTTTCATTACTTTATATAAAAAGAGGTTGCACACCCCACATAAAGACCGGAGCTGGGAGCGTTACCCAGTGTTACGCTTTTGACGGAACCCCTTGGGAACCGAGTTAGACTTAGGCGTGATCCTATAAATGACCGGTCACCAATTCCTAATTGGAATCTTAAACCCTAAACCCTAGCCCCCTTTGCCCCTCCTACCCTTTTATCCTGCTTCATTGCTAGTTTCTCTTAACTTTCTTTAATCGTTTATTCTGCCTTCCCTTCCTTGCGACCCCCCTCCAACTGATGGGGCCCCTTAAATATACCTCCTCTTCTTTTTAAATTAATTTCTTCCCCTACCTGTATGAAAGTTCTAGACCCTACCTACCCTGGTTCCCTTAGTCCCTCTTCCGTAACTTTTTATGGTGCGTTTAGTTGACATGTCTCCTCAATGCAGGAACCCCGTGCTTCTTGACCTCGCTGTGTGTACGTCCCTGTTCCCCATTGAAAGAGAATCCTTGTTCCTTCTATCACTGTCACCCTACCTTGGCATAAGGTAATTTGCTCAAATCGTCTCTTGATTTCGTGGGCCTTCTCTATGTCATGTTGCATGTGTTGTTTGGTCTACTTCCACTCCGCTCGGATGTCCGTCTCCAGTAGGTTGAGAAGAATACTTCTTGCTTTGTTCCTGTGCATTGGTCGTTTTTCTATGGTGAGCTGGCATCTCCTCTGCCATATAGTCCACAAGGTGTACGGTCTGAGTAGTTGAAAGATCCTCTTTTCCCCTGTACCCTAGGAGCTCGGTAGGGCTTGGTAGGGTTATCTCGGTTAGTAGGTTGATCAGGCTGTCCGAGAATTGGTTGTTGGAGACTTATGTAGAAGCAAATCTATCAATCAATCATGCAGAGCAAAGGGGGAAGTATACTTATGGAAGGTAGTGAAAGTATTCATGTTATGATCAATTTGCACCGTCTCATTGCGTTGTCTTGGATCGTGAACTGACCAAGATAATAGCTAACACCTTATTCTGTAATGTGTTTTCTCTTTTTTGAAATAGGTACAAGATACATTTTGGTATCATTTGCTTGAAGGAGCATTAAACCACACAGAGTACTGTGACGATGAACTGTGCGGGAGGTACTGTCAAGTTGACGGTCATTTCAAGGTGTGCAGGTCAAGGTGTGCAAATAATGACGTGGACCGTTACCAGATAGCCATTGGCGCTGTTGTGAAAGGTTGTCCGA